GAGAGAGAGAGATGGGTTTATAATAGGTTTGTCACATATTTAGAAGTTTAAATGTTACAATATATTACATTGATGCATCATATTTTGGCAAAACTTAAAAAAACTTTATGCTTTTAATTTTGTTTATTTTATTCATAATATCTATTTTCTTTAATATTTTCTAATTTTATCAAAATGTGATACTTTCATGAAATATTTTTTAATATTTGATCTTCTAAATAAGTAGGAAGCATATTCTAAAAATTTGGATTGGGTCAAATTCAAAATAAGGCCTAGAACCACTTAACTATTTTTGGGCTAATCCAGTATAATTGGGTCAAATTCTGATCAAAACAACTTGAGATTTTCAAAAAATCTTTACATTGGACTTAGATTGACAAAATTTTAATTTTTCTATTTTAAATAATTTTTTGATATTTTGTGATTTTTAGCATTTGAACAATTTGATATTTTAATCCTTTTTTAATAAATAATAAGTTTTTAGTATTTTAAAATAAATTTAACTTTTAAAGGTCAAAATTATTAAAAATTATTTTTAAAACTTAAAAATAAAAAAAATGGCCATATAGATCTTTTAAATTTATTTTATGATTTTTGCAAAATATTTTTAATATTTATTTTTATATTTAGAATATAAAAATATTATTATATTATTAATTGCTTTATAATTAATAAAATTATTTGTTACTTTATTATTTATATTTTACTATTTTTATAATTTAATATATATTTAATATATTTAATAAAATAAATTAATATATTAATAAATTATTTAATATAATTTATTTTAAATCGACGTAAGTTCTAGATTGGTAGAACCGGTTGATGATTTATTAATATGATGGAGAGAAGATACAGGTTTTAAGGAAAAAAATAGTTAAGAGGATATTTTTATTATTTTGAAAAGTAAAGCTCTCTCTAAAAAATTTTAAAAAATAAGAATGTTGTACGATAATTTAAAAATAAAATTATTATGCGAGAATTTTGGGGCTATGAATTTTTGAAATAAAGATGTTTTATCACAATATCTTAAAAGCTTCTTCGTAGAGTTTGCCTAAGCAAAAAAATAGAACTGCAGTATACTGATCTTTTGGGCCTTATTTGCCGGCCATTGCAGTAGCTCACGCAGAAGCACCCGTGTGAATTACGATTCAGGGAACAGGAGAAGAAAGCCTTCCCGATCCTCACTGCCGGAAGCCCTACAAATGCCGCTGACGCACGTGATTTCTGATCAATGGAAAGCGCCTTCATCGTGTTTTGTGCTTCGTGTATCGCAGGAAACAGTTGATCCGTGCCCAAGAAGCGCCTACTCCTATAATACGCCTCCCGAACCCCGAATCCCAAACCCGAGCCCAAACTAGAGACAGAGAACCCCAAATCGGTAGCAATCCTTCGTCTCGTCACCGGAGTGATCGAGTGGGCGCAGCCAACAATCCATGTATCGCCACGCCTCGCGACGCCTGATCCAGGCCCTCGGCGACGGAGGCCGCCGCCGGTCTTTCTCCACCGACCTCCCCGCGGCGTCGTCGGAGGACGCGGCGTTCGTGGAGGCGTGGCGTAAGGTGGCCCCCAGCATCGACCCGCCCAAGACCCCGCTCGCCTTCATGAAGCCCCGCCCTCCTACCCCCTCCTCCATCCCTTCCAAGCTCACCGTCAATTTCGTCCTCCCCTACCAGTCCGAGATCTCCAACAAGGAGGTTCGGGCGCTCCGCTCATCCCCATCGATCATATCTATCTAAGTCTCGCATACGGTTTCGTTCTGATGTATCGACTATCGATGATGCTGCATCTGTTTCGGATTTGTATGTTCTGGGATCTGCATTCTACTTGAAGGAGAATCTAACTCTACTTGATGAGATCATGTAGATGACCAAGTAGTGGATTTTCATTGTGGATGCCATCGTTTCCTTTCCTGTTAGTCGATAAGAATTGATTTCTGCGATCGGAGTAATAGTAAGTGGCAGCTCTGTGACTGGACTGCTTCGTGTGGTACCAAATGATCAACCCAACCATTGGAAGCTGCGACCTGATGTTTGAAGTGGACATCTTCTTACGGTTAAGCGGTGTGGATATTTAGTATGTTTGAGCTTCAAGTAGTAGTTTTTTGAGTCAGGTCCGGCTACAATATGACGCCCTAGTTTAGTTCATATCGGATGTGGTAGGAGATCCTTGTTAAGCATTTTGGACCAATAGTTTAAGTTCATCAACACAGTAAGTCAGTTATCCTGTCCCCATCAGGCTGAGTAATGAGGGACTAGTTGAACGTAGTCTGGCATTTTAAAAAGACACAAACTTATGCAATAGGCATTTCAGTCAAAATTATTGGCCTTGTGGTTTTTCTAATAATTTGAGAAGAGATCATCTTTAAAATCCTATAGCAAGGTGCAACTTTTAACCATCTTGTTCGTCACAAGTTGGTCAAAGATTGTTTTCATTGTGAACTTGATGGAACTGAAATGGGTGTACTTGGTAACATTTTGGATGTTTATGGAAAGTCTATGTACAAGCTTGGTATGACAGTAAAAGTTGAAGCTCAATATTCATTTTGATGCTCTTCTGAAATCTCATGATACAAACTAGATGCTAGTTTTAAGTATAAACATAGATTTTATGTTGTTCAGTAGTTTGCAAGCCATGCCACTATTTTGACTATTTCCCTTCCTCTCGAATGTTACATTTAGAAAGATGCACTTTCATTTTGCACATACCTTGCTAACCATTATGCGCACAGACCAGAAAGGACGAATATTTTTTTGAATTAAACAAAAAGATCCATTACTATGCAACTTTGTTGTTCAGACTATGTTATTCACAATACACTCACTTTAAAATGGTCGGCTATATTTTCCTGAGAGCTTGTCATAAGCCTTAAGCATGACAATGCTTGTGCCACTTTATCCCTATAAAATATACCAACATCTATCTTCAATTTGCTTTCTTTTGCATTGCACTTCAGGTAAACAATTAATCTCTAGATACAACTTTCAAGAATTCTGCCACCTATTCATTGTTGCTTTTCCTCGAGCAACAGCTTATGCTTCATTATTTACTCAGGTGAGCCCCCCTTCAACATATTGTGTGTATTCATTTGCATCAATGTTGGGGCAATTTCAGAGCTTATCCTAGATGCTAAGACACTTCAACCAATTTAATCACTATATAGAAGAGAGAATTTGATGCTTTCTGCAAGGCATTACTGAAATGCTTTTATTTCCTTTTGACCTTCTAAGCACCTATATTAGTGTGTTTCACCTATCTGAAGCAAGACATCTTCTAGTGTTGCCTGGTGATGTGGCTCGCCTAGGTTGGCTGAGCTAAACGTGGTCCACCTTAAGACCAATGCATTATTGTATGGTAAATGTGGTCTGATCTTGTATGCACTTGGAGATAGGACACTTTTTGCCCAGCCAAGTGCAGACAGGTGGAAACTTGATTTATTCAATTGACGAAAGCTATTCATGTGTTCATTTGAATGAAGTTCAATGTCATTTGAGACTAGCACTTCCGGGAATACCTCAATGTTCACTGCATTTATGGTTGGTCTCCAGTCTTCTTATATATACTATATCTTGCATCTTCAAGCATCTAAACTAGATGCAGCATTTCCTGAGTGGCTACTTATTAAGCATAACTTTTTTCATTAATCTAGTTTGGCAAACTGTTGGTAGCATTTGAAACATTATCCAAGGAAGCATTCCAAATAGCTATTCTGTGTAGCAACTACTTGATTCAAGGTGGTTCATCATTATAATTGCTTTAGGAAAACAAACTGATTAGTTTCAGCATCTCCAATATCTGATGGTTAGTGGTTGGGAACCATGGAATTCTTTGCTACTATGCTTAAGAATGCAAATGAGATGTGGTTCTGGTCTGAATAAGGACGAGCGACAAGCTCTTAGAACCATCTTCATCGAGAAATCTTTGTTACAACTAAGGATGGGACCGTCCAACTCATGCTGCCTTGCACATTCTAGGCTGCATGGTACTGATTCTCAGCACATTACTGAGCATTGAGCTGTCAGATGCTGGCCTGTTGGGAGTGTGCATCAGCCTTACCTATCAGGTCACTGGGTGAGTGTTTTACATAGGACCATTATTTGGCACATTTTATGTGACGAGCATACTAGCATTGAGATGGTACATGGGAACCAGCTCGGAGTGCACATTAACCTCAACCTACACTCTGTCATCATGGAGGATAGCTTGAATGTCTGAGTGGCCTAGTCATTGTCACTTTATCAAGAGAGATTTTGAAGTGAAGATTGATTAACAATTTTCTTATGGATGAATTACCTTTTGAAGTTCTTATGGTGTCTAAATTAGATATAAACTAATAGGCTGACAAATTGATCACTACTTCTATTACTTTGTCCCCTACTTCTATTCCTTTCTCTGTCCCTTAACTTCTTATTTACTTTCAGGTTGATATGGTCATTGTACCAGCAACCACAGGGCAAATGGGTGTTTTGCCTGGACATGTTGCGACTATTGCAGAACTCAAGCCAGGGGTTCTTTCTGTACATGAAGGGAATGAAGTAACTAAGTACTTTGTTAGCAGTGGGTTTGCATTCATACATGCCAACTCAGTTACAGATATAGTTGCTGTTGAGGCTGTTCCTGTCGACCGCATTGATCCAAGCCTAGTCCAGAAAGGACTAGCTGACTTCACTCAGAAGTTAAACTCAACTACGACGGACTTAGAAAAGGCTGAAGCGCAGATTGGTGTTGATGTTCACAGTGCATTAAATGCTGCACTTTCTGGTTGAGAGTCTTTATCCCTTATGGGGCATTCCTCTTGAACTCATCATTGAACACAGATAAATGGCCAATTCGTGATGTGTGAGGAAAGATGGAAAGTTTTATAATTTTTTAGCTTTAATCACAAGTCAGGACTGTGGTAACTTAATTGCTATCCTGCTGTACAACTCTGAAATGTTTGATGTCTTGTTTTACTGGTTTCTACTCTTTCTTAAGCTTCTGTGGTTCGAACCTGCTATTTTCAGTATTCTACTCATCAAAATTTTATTTTTATTTGCAGTTTTTTGTGAATTATGAATTGGGACTATATGGAAAACGCGCTTATGGGGTATGAGTGTGTCGATGGTGATAGACCGTTTTTTTTGTACAAGTTTTCTTTTTCTCAGACTAGCAACCTGTACTAGAGTGTAAAAGAGTCTATTTTGAGCCACATCTAAGCTTGAATCGATATCCATTTAATGTTGTCATCTTTGTTCAATTGTAATTTACTTGACTAGTCAAAAGTTAGGCTTGAAATTTTGTTATAGACCAGCCATACTCGAGCTTAATTTCTGCTTGAAGTTTATCTTAAGCCAAGCTTTAAATGGACCAGGTTTAGTTAAATTCACCTGTATTACCTCTTTAGAATAGGGGAAATGGTAAAAGTAATTTGTCAAACATCATGAGGGTAATAAGCCTAATGGCTGCAGATGAGTCATGGAAACTTCTAAATGTATGTCATGATGGTAACATGATTGGTATGTTTTCTGTAAGTCTGCAGAAAGATAGCTTATTATTTATCATTATTGAATCTAATAGGATTTAGGGTTTAGGGCCAATGATTCACTTTAACTATATCCTGCTCTTTGTCATGATGGTAACATATTTAGTATAGCTTCTGCAAAGTCTGCAGAACCATAGCTCATTCTTTGTCATTATGGAGTGTAATTTGTAGAAATTACAACTATTCCAGTGCTTTTCTATTCAGACAAATATTTACCTACAGTATTTTTCTTGTTAATACCTGAATCATGTGCTTTTTCTGAAAGCCAAAGATTCTATTCGATTAAAGGATAACAAGTCTCAAGGTAGCATTTCATGTGTCCAAGGATGTAATAATAGTATGCTAATAAACAGTCAGAGTTTTCTGTACTGAACAGGCCATAAACTTCTGTTGTTTCGTGTTCCCTCCGATGTATATCTGCTTCCTTTTTTGTTTATATTTTAAGCCAATTGTTTCGTGTTTCCTCTGATGTATCTCTGATAGTTGCAATGTAGTTGACTTGTTTATATCTTTACCTTTCTCTGAGTTGGTCATACGGTTGCTTGACCAAATAAGCAAGGGTGTGGACAAGTTCTTGAAAGTTGGATCATGTCTCATGTCGCAGCAGCATTTGTGTACCTTCCAACTTGAAGATCAAAAGGAGGCAACTCGAGTCAGTCTAGAAACCAAATCCAGCACTTTCGAGGAGCTTATCGTCCTCGCTTTCATCGCTCTCATCTGTTTCCAAGCAATCGATGCTCTTACTCTTTAATCTTTTCTGTTTCATTCCTGTTGGTGGTTCTCACATCAAAGCCGTCTCTTTGCAGCTGGTGGTTCACCGGATTGGGAATCAAAACTCGGTGTGAAGGAGCCAAACTATGATGGAAAAAGGTGCGTTCCAACTTTCGGACTGATGGAAAGTAACCATTGAATCATTAGTCTTTCTGTTTGGCATCCTTCATCCGTTAGGTTTTAAGTTTTGTATCATATCATGTAAGATTTGCATCATGCTAGGATGCTGTGTTTCACCGTAAGCATGCTGGACCTAATCAGTTTCTGACGCTTTACGTTTAGGTCTTCATTAATTATGACTCATGATAATTCCGCCAGCACAGCTGAGTCGCAAATGGTGGGTGTTTTTTCCTATTATCAAGTCACATTCATGACGCTTCTCGCTTGGACATGGAAACTACTGAAATCAATAACAATGGAGTGGTCTATGTCATCGACCAGATGGACAATGGGCTGATGGAGATGAGCACTAAGAAGAACATGCAACCAGGGAGAGCGGTGGCCAAGACTTGGTGGTGATCCCTTTCACAAGTCAAACAATGGGATGCGTTGCTGAGGCAGTGGAAAGCAATCCGTGGAGAACGAACCATCATAGCCAAAAGAAAATGATGCGAACATGGGAAGAACATAATTGCACACCCTTCCAAAAACACACACAAAAGATTGTGTGGTCGGACTAGTTATTTGATTTTTCAGGAGATCAATTCAATGACAAACACCAGGGGGACCGAAGAAAAGAAGACAGCATGACAAGTATCTTGACCTAACTCGATTGGTGGCGTGGTTGTACTTGTTTTCTCTCTCAGCCTGCATCCCTATCTAAGACCTGTACAAGAGAGCCATTTGATTACTCCGGATATTTTGCTTGATGACACATCATGCCAATAAAATAAACCAGGTCTAGCAATCCACCCCCGACTTAATTTGTGATGTGTGCATGAGAGGTGCTCGCGCTTGGTAATGTCGACAATGCTCCTCGACCAACATGGCAGTGGATTGGTTTTGACTGGCATAGTTTTATTTCTGTGTTATTGAACGGTGGTAAATGATGGCATAGTTTATCTCAACAACCCTTTGTCTTCCAAAAACATAACACATATATATGTTTGTACATCTCATCGGGTGAGATAATACGTGAAGAAGACTGGCACATCCTCGTAGAGTTCGTCTACTACAGTCCAGCTGGGAGGCGAAGGAATCCTGACACTCTTTGCTGTTCCTGCGACTAAGAAAATGTGAAACATCGAGATGCATGGAAGAGTTATTGGTCTGATGATGGAGCGAGAAAGAGTAAGAATATGACTAAGAATCTGATGCAGCTACACTTCTCCATGCCTCCTTTCTTTCTTTCTAGGGCGAGCATGCTTCCCATACTGATCAGATCTGTTTGGGTATCTTCTCTCTTCCTCCGAGACATTATTGGAGGTATGTGAGTTGGTTTCATCAACTTCCATGAATTTTTAGCGATTAAAGCTTTGTCACATGAGGGCCTACAATGCATTTGAGTCTGGGTGATGGAAACAGGGGATGGATGTTAGCCATTAATAATGGTGTTGCTATTGGAAAGCCATCACCGCTTTGCTGAAGCATCTGAGCAGAGGAAAAAAGTGGTGCAAAGCGAAGGAACTGATGTTCGCTTTACATAAAAATCTGCGCATGGAGTACGGTAACAATCTCACATAATAATATGATACGTGTGTTGGAATTATGATTCATGGGAAATGGGCAATTGGCTTCTTCGTATTGATTAATACAGAAAATTTAATTTCTTTTACTTTGTGAAGAATCATTGGCTATTAAAAAGTTATGCGATATTTGATGTGAAGGATCTGAACATTAAAAAAGAAGAAGAAGAAGAAGAAGAAGAAGAAAAGAGTCAGTCATCTGACTTTGAAGAAGTAAATAAAGATTTTGATTCCCGAGGACTTGTAAACGCAGGAAATGGTAGTCATGTGAAAGCTCTAATCTTCAGGAGCGGACTGCAGCAATCATTTCGTTAAACTACTTATTATCTTTCTCCATTTCCCATGACAGCGAGATGGATGTGTCCCCGACAACTTGCTTCACACTCTTCACCGTTGAACAGGATTGAAATGACATGCAACAGGAAACATAAGAGCTCAGAGCACCCCACCGATTGCGCCTGCAAATATGGACTTGATTGGACCGAACAAAGTACTTGTGATTGTAGAGTTAGAATGACTGCGTTGAGGCTACCAACAAAGCAAAGGGAAATGTAAGAAAATTTTCATAAGAATCCTCCTGTAAAATATTCTCTGTTGCATTGGGTTAAATTAGTCTGTCTCAGCAATTTGACTTGAGTGTGTTTTTTCTCTCTTTTTAAAGAGAAAGAGATTTAAGTGATTGGTCTGCATCTTGAAAATACATTGGACACCAAGTTCAACAAAATTATACTTGTTTTGTTTATTCAGTCAATTAATTGTATAGACAAATTATGTACTGCATGTTTTTAGCTCCCTGATGAATGAGTTAGTGAGTCAACAAGGTAAGGTACTATTGAGTGTGTAAAAGGTGAAATTGCCCATACAAAACAATCACTTCCTTTCCAATGGGACTTTCCAACTATCTTGTCTTTGACTTTGTGAGGAAATCACAAATTAGGTGGTTGTTCATAGGTACATGTAAAGAAAATTAGCCCCAAAAAATTGTTGAAACTTAGAGAGCTCAATACAATCATCATTCTCGCATGGATTCAAAATCACAAACAATGAATGGACCACAATCTGTCCGCAACATGAAATGGATCCTTTTGTTCGGTAGCAAGGCTGATGAATATATGAGCAAAACTTGAGCTAAATCAACTTCACAGGATCAGGGAATATCCACCTCTCAGAATTTTGCATCAAGAAAGAAAAAAAAGGAGAGAAGGAGAGAGAAAGAAGAATCCATATTCCTCCTTGGTTTGTTGTTTCTCTTGTTTTCTTTCCAGTCGGGACGGACTACTAATGTCAGTGTGTTATTGCACAGCTACATGTTATCCTATAAGAAAGAGTTGCCATATCCACCCTTGTCTCATCTTCAAGTCTTGGCCATGACACAGAAAATTTGGAACCTGTCGAGAGAGATTGCAGTGTCTGTTTGACAAATCAACTGATGGAAGAGTCTGGTGAGCAGAAAGTGGACAAATACAGTAGGAGACTAATTAGACTTTTGGCTCAGCATGGGCATATCCTCTGTCACAATTCATCTCACCTTCGGAGTTGATCGTTAAAACCTATGTTTCTGAACCATGACTCCATGAGAGGTCATGTTCTATACATATTTGTCAAAACATGCAAACAAGCTGATCGATCTTCCCTCTCTATTATTTTCACTGTTTGAGTAAATGAATGTCTAATTTGCTCCATGTGAAACGGAAGCATTTTGAGTGTTGGAGATCACTTGCATTATATATGCAAACATCTCATGGTTGTTTAGAGTGAAAGATGAAAGCTTTCACTGTAATTAATACATTAGGAATAGAAAAAGAAAGATATATCTGACAAAAAATAAGACAAAGACTTTTCTTTACATCAAAATTCCATTATCAATCAATCTTCACCATTTTGAAGTTTAACAAAGGGAAAAAAAATTATTATTATTAGCTGATTGCAAACAATTGGTTGTGAAGTTGTCATTGCATGCCATATCTCATCACTGACCCATTCCATAAATTATTCTTCACGCCTAAATCTGTCAGAGGTGCATGATAGGCAGACTAGATAGGGAGAAATGGAGTAAATGCAAGAAGCCAAGCCCGTCCAACCCCACCCGAGAAATGGGTGATGCGTTGCTCTCCTTCCCTCCTCTCCTTTCAAGTACCTAATGGATCTCTTCAATACAACCATCCCCTCCCTTTCCTTTTCCTGTGTGAGAGCTACTGACCGCACAGCAGCACCAAATCCTCTTTGGTTGCAGTGATAGTTGCCAGAAGGAGCTGCTCCTTAATGGATGGATTCGATGCTCCATGACAACTACCTCACTTTGAAGTTACTGCGTCCTGTCCAAAGGTCCCCCATGCATGCTGAAGGAATCACATCAGGCCGTAGTTCTCTGAGCCTTTAGCTGATGCAGTCCTGAAATATACATGTTGTTGATATCAGTGCATCTTGAAACAACAAGTGATTGTCTTACAAGAAGAGAGAGAGAGAGAGAGTGTGTGTGTGTCTTTCTACTAACTCAAAAGAAAAGGAGAGTATGCAGTAAAGACAAATAAAACACTGAATGATATGTACTCGATATGTATGTATATTTATACATTTGTTTGGATCAATTTATATCAACATCAACCACATTACCCGCCGCATTTATATTTCTACTAATTAAAACCAATCTGAACCAAAGCAGATCGGACGTAGCATCAGCTAGAAAAATTATTTCGAGCTAAAAGAACCGTGATCGACTTCTTTGCTTTGCAACAACTATCTATCTATCTATCTATATAAACAATTAGTCATTGCCGAAGATCTTGGTGGGGTCAACTCTATGGATCCTCTGCATCCTATTGCATAGTTGAAATTTCGCATCAGTTTTGCATCACAAAATAATGTGTCACTGTATCTATCATGCAATTTTTCCTTTCATTTTATCTGGTGGATGAATATTTAATTTATGTGATAATTCAATAACAATTATAATGGCTGGTTGTCCGAGAAAATATCTTTTTTTGAGTTTTTCCAGGATAGTACCCATTTTTAAAAATTTCAAACCATCATCCTCTATTTCAAAATTTTTAAAAATACCCCCCAAAAGCTGTTGTAGTGTTTTTCCATTCAATCCCAAAAAAACTTTTGGCCAACTATTATTTATAGTGTTTTGTGGGTTATTTTTTTTATCCGTAAGACACCATATTGTATTTTTTAGATACTATATAATAATTTTGTTTTAAAAATACTATGATATCAAAAACATAGTATACTATTTTTTTAATAGTATATAATATCTTTTAAAAAATACTATATAATATTTTTAAAACACTATATAGTATTTTTGTGGATAAAACCATGTAAGTAGTTAGGGAAAAAAAATTGGATTTGAGCGAGAAAAAATGATAATTTTTTAAGAGATTTTTGGAACATTACAAATAGGGGGGTGATCAGATCGTATGAGTATTTTGAAAAAGGAGTACCATATAAGAAAAACCTAAAAAAAGAGTATTTTCCAAAACAATCGCTCAATTATAATTCAAAATTTTATATTCCATATTAAATAAAAATAATTTAAAATTTATATTTATAGATTTCAGTAAAACATTCTTGGCCCTCTTTTCTCTCTCTCTCTCTCTTGACTATAGATAGTATCTATAGGTATCTTTAACACATCTCCATACTATCTTATATGTTCCTGCCTGATTTTGTCTTTCATCAGAGCTACATCTAATTGTTCACTTATGTAGTAATTCTAATATTTTAATTCTTCTTTAATACTTTTCATTTAGAGCATTCTATATAATTGTTGACCATTTTATTTTTTGCTACATAATATGCATATTTCTTTATTACATCATATAAATTCCATGATAATATACACAAGTACTCATCCATTATTGACATCGTTGCATAACTTTATTGCGGTATTCTTTCTGTTCTTGCTACGTTTCTTATTTGTTTAAACAGAAACTTGCATGACTGATATCCTTTTCACAAACCAATTGATTTCTTCGATTTATCCATCATAATAATAAAGTGGGATTAATCCAAGCAATAACAGTGGTCAATCTGATACCATTTTACCTTGTTCTGATTGAGAAAGAGACGCGTGAGAAGCAGTTAATGTTAGGCCGAGCATATTAAACCTACAGTTCTTCACATTTCCAAGACAATGGAGGAAGGAAAAGGAAGGGCTGTTGGTTTGCCTGGACAAACCTTGGAAGCTAAGAAAGAGAAAGACTAACAACAGCAAACACTTGGCACAAGAAACAAAGTATGGAAGGCAATCCAAGCAGCTACTACTTCAAGCACAATGACTGTCCCTGGTATTTCTCCCATGCACAGACAAGGTCACACCCTTCTTTTCTCTCTCTCTCTCTCTCTCCCTCCCTCTCATGTGCCTACTGCATCATCGAAGGCAAACTGGCCTAGGAAATCTCAACACAAAATGAAACAGTGCTGCTGAGGAAGGTGGATCCATTCAAACCAAAAGGAAGGAGATTTATATGGTTAGCAGCAGCTCACCATCTCTCTCCACTCCTCTTTTTTGTGAGTGAGAGAGCATAAGAGCAGGCCATCTTTGGACTCTTTCGATCGTTCCGAGCGCATTTATCTCCACTTCGTTGCGTACCCTTTTTTCTGCATTGAAGTGAAGAGGACGACGAGGGAGGTGGAGGAGAAACAAGAGCAGCAGCATCTATGGTAGTTGGCATTGAAAGCTTTTGCTTCTGATTCCTCCTCTTCATCTGCCTCTTTCTTTCGTCGCACACCTCTCTCTCTCTCTCTCTCTCTAGACAAGTAATGATAGTTCAATCCTGATACCCGTGTAACTTTCCTCGTTCGAGTTTGCGGTCAAGTTCCGATCTTGATCGGTTTTATGGATGATTTCCCATTAGTTTCTGTGTGAAAGGTCGAATCTTGAGTGGTTTCCTTGGGAAATTTTTGGTTGCTGGATTGACGCAGAAGCGATAGGAGGAGAAAGAAATGGACTTTCCTCGAGCCGCGCCTGGTTTCATCGATCCGTCGGAGTTATTGCTCGCCAATGGAGGTGAGATGAGGCAAAGTTGGCTCCTTTTTGGTCTGCTTGAACGGTATGTTGTGGGTTTCTGAGGTTTGTTTCATCTAACAGCACCGCCGAATCCGAGGAAGAGAGGTCGAGGAGGCATCGGGTTCCCGGAGACGCCGCCACCGCAGCTGCAGCAGAACCACCCTGTCGACCTCCTCTCGCTGCAACCACAGCGTACATCGACCCCGCTTTCGCCTCCGGCGCTTGTGAGCTTCGCCCAGCACCAGAGCGACCCTTCTCTCCGAGTTTCCACCGGCCTCCGACTCTCCTTCAAGGATCGATGCCAGCAGCAGAACCAGAAGCAATCCAACCCTCTTCTATCTTCTTCTTCCTCCTTCCTGTCCTCCCTTCTGTCCGAAGAACTCACCACCCACATCAATCAACAGAAGGGCGAAATCGAGCAGTTCCTTCACGCCGAGGTACTATTCTCTCCTCCTGCCTCTCCCGGATTGCTTTGGCTCCTTTGGTCTTGGTAATAAAGAGACTTAAAGATTGGATTTTTCATCCTCTATGGCAGTCAGAGCAGCTGCGACGGGGGTTGGCGGAGAGGCGATGGAGGCACTACCGGTATCTATTAAGCGCAGCGAACGAGTCAGCCGCCCGGCGGCTACGAGAGGAGGAGGCGGAAGCGGAGCGGGCGGCGCGGCGGAGCGCCGAGCTCGAGGGCCGCCTCGCCCGCCTCCGAATCGAGTCGATGGCATGGAAAGCCAAGGCCACGGCCGACCAGGCAACGGCAACTTCTCTCCAGGTCCAGCTCCAAAAGGCTGTCGCCACCGCGGCCCAGGCGCGGGGCTGCGAGGCGTCGCCGGCCGAGGACGCCGAGTCGGCCTTCATGGAGCCTCACCGAGTCGAGCAGGGGCGGGCTTGCCGCGCCTGCCGGGAGCGCCTGGCCTCGGTGGTGCTCCTCCCCTGCCGCCACCTGTGCCTGTGCGACGTCTGCGACGGCGGGGGAGGCCCGGTCGAGTCGTGCCCGGTTTGCCGATGTGGCAAGGCCGGGAGCGTCCGAGTCTACCTCACTTAAGACTGCAAATCTCAGCCGTTCAAAAGATCTCCGTAAACACGAAAAATTAAAAATAAATCACACAAAAAAGGGATTAGAAAAAGACAGTCCGACGCTTAAACTCTTTTTCTAATCAGCTTTTGGAAACAAGATGATGAGCATTACTACTAATTAATTCGAATTTATTCGAATTTTATTTTTTTTTCTTAATTTGTTTCGAATGTGCACCTTCGGCCGTTTGATTACCATCATGTGGCAGAGAACCAGGAAGGCCCATCGATCGTCTAATGGGCCGGCCCAACCCATATATGTAACGCATGCCTGCAATTTAGACTAGTGCTTAGCCAATCGATCTAATTTGTGTTGATCAAATGCTTGTTTGACGTGCAATCTTAATGGGTCACACTTCATATTTCGTAGTAATCAACATTCATATCTTCGTAGTAATCACCTATTGCATTATTTAAGAAAACGAGGAAGAGTGGAAATTTTGCATGATGATGCCAATTCCAATAATAAATTACAAGCGATAATGAAATAAAGTATTGATGGTGACAACGTTGATAATTGATGATGATGATGATTGTTAGTCGACAATGGTATTAACATATTAGCGATGTAAATGATAATTTACCGAGTCGAAATAAGAGTTTTCTTTGTATGAGTTAATTAATTTTGGTTTTTCTTTTTTTTAAATATTCTATCTCCGATGAATAGTTTCTTTAATGTTCAACAATCTCCATGTAAAGCAGTAACAAAGTCAAAATTAGGAAAATTATTCACAATCGATGAAACAAAGGAACAAATTAGGATGGATATTTTTCATAAAAATACAAATAACAGAAAAAGACAACAATTTCATGTAGAAATGGAGAATATGATAGATGTATTATTTATTTACACAAATGGTAACTGATGGAACATCTTAGATCTTTGCTATCAACAATCAAAGTCTTACCAACAAATTTTCATAGGAGATGAAAATTTCACTAACAAGAGAATGATAGTTATTTCATTTTTTAATTGTGCAGTCATGAAAAATACTAAAAAAAAAAGAGAGGATCATTTAGCCAAATAAAAACTCACTAATGTTCAAAAGTGACATCTGAGATAATAGCTTGAATCTTAATTGACACAACATTTTCTCTTCTTACCTTTCACCTCATGAACTTAACTCTTTCAAGATATATTTGCTATCTTGAACCACTGCTCTTCTCTGATCAGTGAATTGAATAAAGAACCAATCGATTGGGGAAACCTTGCTATGGATCCACTATATTATTCCCTTGTTTCGACAAACAAGTATCAGTAGGAACACTGTCTCTTTCTAACTAAATGAGCCAAAACTTATGACTCTCCAACAAAAGTTCCAATGGATTTTTGGCCAAACATCTTAAATATAGTTCAAGTGAATCTAGTGATCACCTAATCAACGACCACAATCTTGGGATGTTTGAACTATGCTTTGTAAGGAATGCACACCAAACACACACCATGGAAAACAAAGAGTCTCCATCCATCCTTTGTAGGTGTTTGCTTTGATGAGTGAGGAGAAGAGCAAGAGGTTAGACTTTGCCTCATTGTTGAACTGTTGCGTCTCAACTGTTCATATACTGAAGCTGTAGAAATGAGAGAAACAGAGTTTGGTGATTTTGGACTCACCATCTTTCTACAAGAAAAAAGGGGAAAAAGAAGACCAATTTATGTTGAGTAGAAAGTTGTGAAGGAAGAAAGAACTACAGCTACTGGTGAGATCACATCACTCTCTGATTTCATGATTTGGACAGGGTTTTGTTTCTTCGGTCCATCATGGAATTGGTAGAGATGCATGACCATAGTTATGAATCATTCAGTGTTTGTATATTCATGGATGTTGAAAGATTTAGTGATTTCACCTACACATCCAAAAGTCCATTGATGTTCCACATTTTCTATAAAGTCTATCCTGATATGTTTGAAACCAATTGTGGTCAGAAGCGCAAAGTTTATAACACATTTAAAAACCCAATGATGTTCAACATTGTCTATCAAGTCTATCTTGATATGCTTGAAAGGTCGACATACCATATCATAATCTCTCTCCTTGTGACTGTTTCATTCATTTTGCTTATTTCATTAAAAGGTATTTATGGTCAAAAGCACATAGCCAAGTTTATAAGAAAGTTGTGTATAATGTGACTTTTTTATTAGGCTTTCTTCATAATCTCTAACAAAAGAATATGGTGTTTGAGCAAATCATAGGTAAATGAATTATGAGAAAGGAATGCATATGAATGTAACAAATCAAGAAATGGAACTGGAAAGATTACTGTGCTAAACTATATAGTTCATAATTTAGTGATCAGAAAAGGGTTGGATGTCAGTGTCAGGTTAGAACATGTATATATACATGTATATATATACATATATATACACACACACACACACACACACATATATATATATATATATATATATATATATATATATATATGTAATTACAAAAAAGTGTGATGCTTTCATATAATTAATTGACAAGAGAACATGGGTAGCAGATCATTTAATACATGCTTTAGGCTGTGATGAAATAAAGCAGGCACCACCTGTTCCAATAACAGTGTTCTTCTCCACTCAAAAGCATTGGCTTGAGACTTGGGCTTCCTTAAATCCCTCAGAAGATCAAAGTCGGCACAGATGTGGATTGATTCTGTCCATTCATGTGTCTCTGCTGCTGCCTCAATAAACCACTGAGAGACTATAAACTAAGCGACATCGAGTCTGGCGAAGAAATAAAAGATGTGTTCTTTTTGCAGGAATGATTAACTCGAGCTGACAACAAAGCTCTGTAGATGTTGTAGCTGAAAAATAATTTATGAGAATTAGCTTCTGTTGTTGATGTAATTACTCATATGATTTTCTTTAGAATAAGATATATATATATATATATAATTTAAATATATAAATATGAAAAAAAAATATTTTTAGATGACATGTATCAGTAATTTTTCTAAAATTGAAATGCTGGGAGATTCGGGGGATCTTGACCGACGGGAACCGGCTGGTGACGGTAAAAGCCGGGAAGAACAAAGAAAAGGGGAAGCAACAACGATGGCGTCATAGTCACGTGAGGATTGTTCTGGACGGGTTTGGCGTCGAGTTCGGGCTCCGCACTCCCTTTAACTACGAGAACGCCACAGCGTCAGGTGCGAACTATGTATATGTATCACTAGGAGAGCTTTCAAGAAGCTTAAGGATTGATCGCGGCGTTACGCTTGTCGATCGCTTGGCTGTCCATTCCAACTCGATTAGACGAAGACCAAAGCCGCCATTATTCGCAGTCCACCTATTCGTCGTGGTTCCGAGAGACCCACCATTATTGGAACTCCCACCGTCCTCTTTTTATGACCCGCCCCCAGAGGAGCCGCGGTAGAAGCCTTGAGATCACCATGGACTCCTCTCGCTCTTCCTCTTTCTCTTCCCCTTCTCATGGATCGCTGAACGACGCCGGCCCCGAAGCAGGCAACAGCAGCGCCGCGTTGGGAAGGCTGTATTATGACGCCTTCGACGACGAACCGCGTCACTTCTTGGACTGCTGCTCCCTCTGCAGGAAGCCCCTCGCGAGCAACCGCAACATATTCATGTACAGGTTCGGTGTGCAACCCTCTTTGTTGGAGTCATTTGTCATCTTCGCGGAGAGTGCTGGTGTGGGGTGAGTGGATTGATGGGTAGTTGGTTGCAGAGGGGACACGCCGTTCTGCAGCGAGGAGTGCCGGCAGGAGCAGATCGAGATCGACGAGGCCGGGGAGAACAGCCGGAAGCTCTCCGTGAAGGTGTCCAGGTCGAGGAAGGAGCGGCGGAAGAGTGGCGAGTCCCAGAAGATTCACGTCTGGGCCGACACTGCCGTGGCTAGGTAAACTACGGCACACTCGATATAAAGCTGTGGGTAGTGTACAAGGTTGAAACCCGAGAGGAGTGGCAAAGAGGAAGAAGCTCTTTTGCATGCATAGGGCGACGAGTGTTGTAACCTTTGCCTGGGTTGAGACTTGTTCTTCATCGCTTTTCTTACTGTTTGTTGTTCTTGATGAAGTGGTAATCGAGGCTTTGATCCCTCTCTAATTCTGTTGTCTGATGACTTAACGCATAAAGAAACTTAAATGCTAAATTCGTCTAGGTTTCGACTGGAGAAAACAACAAACACCAACATCTGGAAGGTGACGGACGAGCTAATCTACTTGAACATAAGTCTACTTCATAGTGGATTGATTAAGCTGTCAACTTAAAACTGTTGTTGTTCATGCTGGGAATCAGGTCGTATCGTACGAGAAACAAGTGTAATAAGCAAACATCGGAACCTAGCGCACTGGTTTCTCCTTTAATCTTGCATGTACTGACTGTTGGCTGCGTTTTAATGTCTGTTATGTACGGTGAGATACAAAGAAAAATAATTTTAGATACGATGAAATTAAACGAAACCACAATCAAATATAACATCAACATATACTTGAAAAATTCCTTCAATATGAAGGGTAAAAATTACGTGATAAATTAGAGATAATTCATTATAATAATAATGAATATATAAATCTAAATCTCTTTGTCTAAAATCCTAACAACAATCACAAGAGAATAACTGGGATACAAGGATCACGTCACTGTGCATAATATCTAAATCCTTCCTAATTCTCCCCAAGTAATCACAGTAAGAATTTACTGTAGATCTGATCTAACATGAGATGAAAGCACTGTTAGATGATTGAGAACAGTCTCTCTATGTTATCATTGTCGTCTGTGCATAATATCTAAATCCTTCCTAATTCTCCCCAAGTAATCACAGTAAGAATTTATTGTAGATCTGATCTAACATGAGATGAAAGCACTGTTAGATGATTGAGAACAGTCTCTCTATGTTATCATTGTCGTCTTCCCTTTCTTTCTCTTCCTTTTCTGTCTTGTTTTTCTTATTTTCTTTAGAATCTCGTGACTACCAAAAGCTACACTCCCCCTAATATAAATTAGTGTTAGATTAAGGAGTAAGCTGTGAGCTGATAAAACACACCTTGGACTGAATATGGATAGTAATGAGAACCTAGGTGACCATTCCATTCCATGAGACTCCGCAAAAGTTCATGAAGCCAATTCCACATCCAATACCTTCATCCCTCTTATATGGCATCTGTTGATAACTTTGTCCAGCCAATTAAGAAGAAGAAGAATATAGATATCTAGCATTCAATGAACATGAAACAAACAACGACGGTTACAATGGCAGGATGTCAGGCCAATCACTGTTATGCTGTGGTTGACAGAACAGGCCTCGCCTCTTATGTTATCTCCATCTTACAACAGGATTTTATGTAAGAATTTTGTTTCTATAAGCTAATGCAGTCCCCAACACTATCGCCCAACCGCATGCTTCTGTCCCCGTATGATGGGGTTTACGATGATCATTTTGGAGGCATGATCTAATTATTCATATAAAAAACACAACTTATCTCTGAAGAGGAGTTGTTGATGGTTAACCACATTAATATCATACATCACAGCAATTTTACTATCAAATAACTGTAAAAGAAGATATCGGTCCCAAAGCGTGGTCGTCGAAATAAATGCATGTCACAGTTCAAATTACATTTTACCACATAAAAAAAGCATATTTGGAAGAAAAGCATACATCAAGATATACTTGATGCAACAGGCAAGGGAGCATTCACTCTTTTCAAGACGTAAGAATAATTTACAGACTACAATCTCAGCAGTAGGACACATCTATAACCACGCAGTGTAAGGAAAAAAGCACACACATATATAACCACAGAAAACTCTGAAATTATTCCTATTATTAGTGTCATGGTGTTGTAGAAGGTATCTAGATATTAAAATACCTACATTAGATTACTGTCAAATAAACAAAAAAGTTACAAGAAAAGCAAAAAGTGGCTAACCTTGCAAATTGAGACATGGAAATTAATAATCAACCATAAAAGTTACACTTGCACAGTCGTTACAAGATTAAAATAAAACAACTTGAGTTAGGACAACCCAAAGTAGATATTATCCCAAAAGCAAGGATAGGTTAACACTTTCTACTTCTGAACCCCCTCCAGATACAACAAAATTCTCTTTGTTTGGCAGCTCAGCTCCAATTCATGGTTTGTGAATTTTGAAGCCAAATACCCTGGGAACATACCGTTGTGATGGCTTTTGTGGCTTGAGGTGCCCATAAGTCATCAGAAACAGGTGAGGAAATGTTGTCCCAAAGTAAGCTCCATCGATATCTAAGCAAGGTCAATTGAATTTCAAATTTTCATTAGAGGTAACTAAACTGAGCAGCTAGTGTACATCTCTTTGTTACTTAATTGAAAAAGCAATTACTAGATAGTGTAAACTCCAGGAGAGAATACATGTAATAACTAATACAGCAACCCATGGATGGTTATGGTTTCAAATTACATCATTCACTGTTGCTCTATATGCAAAAGTATTCCAGGACAAGGGCCAAAAATAAATTATGTATTAATGGAAATTACAGTAAGGCAGAAATCATGTAAGCAAAGCAGCATATCAAGAGGCATATACTATTTTAAAGATCTTGTCATAATACGACCAATTTGAACAAAATTTGCTAAGTCAAAAAAGGATACTGCCTTGATACTTCGATCTTGGATAGTATACATCTTCACATTTGGGACAATATATTTTCACAGTACTTGATCGAGGTATGTCCGACTGCCCAAGAGGAAGACAGGGCTGGCCACAACAGTAGACTCGAGGGCATCTTCCAAAATCATAGTTCTTGAATTTCTCTAGCTACAGAAATTGTCACTACCAAGTGTCATTGATGACAAACTAAGAAACCATAAACATAGAGGAAAAAATACAAGACCTTACCATAGCAGCCATCCCTTTACTGGTTAATATATATCGAACATGAATCAAACCATAAAGCATCTCTGCTGCTGATTCAACTAGCTCGTTTTGTTCCTCGGTGAACATGTCTCCTGCCCATATGTAAAATTCATTGAAATTGTCTACAATTTCCAGCCAAAGAAGCATGCATAAATTATCAGCGCAATAAGGCAGTAAAAATAGTGATGAAAATATAAAGAAATAATGAGGTACAAATTGCAAGGCTCTCTATCAGAGTTTAATGTATAAACTTTTTGTTCACATATATATTACTTCTGGCACTTTTCTCTTTTTCTCTGTGTTGTCTATATGGTTGGGTTGAGGGTGGGAGAGGGATGGTTTGAGCAGGCTTGTCAGCAACAGACAGAAAACATCAGCATGGGAGGAGGAGATAATTCCCATTCCAAATACCACAAATAGTATTCAGAAGGCATAAACTACTGGCAATTAATTAACAACCCCAAAAAACACCAGTTATCACAACACTCCTTAGTCTACCAGCTGACCACTGCATATTATCAGTCATCTCTCCACGTCAAGCACTGCCACTCTCTGAAAAGAAATTGTTGTTTACCCAGAAACATATAACATTGATTTCTATATGTTACATCAAAATGAGTAAGTAATTTTGCAGCCATCATTTCTAATCCAAATTCTAGATGGAGATTAAAATCTAAAACTAGAAAACACTGTCATAGACTTATGGAATCTTAAAGGTCCTAATAGGTCTGACAGTCTATCACGGACTTAGCTGGTTTTGCCTAAGTCGTGCGGCACCCTTGCGTGTCCATCCGCAAAGGTCAGCCTCCCCGAAGCCTCCCATGTCCCTTAGGACCCACAAAAGAGAGAACGAGTTAGAGAAAACGCCTCAATCGGGATCCACAAGCAAACATCTCCGAAAAACACTTCATAGACAATGCAAATTACAAACAGACTTTATAAGA